TATTTATATATAGAGAAAAATAATAGCCATTGAGAAATGTCATACTTCTATAGTTTTTGGAGAATTTTCTTAAAGAGTGACATTGGAAGCAGCACATTTTTGAAGCTACAGGTCTCATCCAGCGGACGCAGCGGCACCACGGTGGGTCGCTGTGGCCTCACTGACGGAACCAGCAGGGAGAGCGTTACCGAGGTATTTCTTGCCCATGACAACACGCCGTCTCACTGGTGACGTGGTGGCGAGAGGGCGGAGCCTTCACAGTGAACTCTCATTGAACCCGTTTTGATGTCGGGTGGGGCAGACTCACAAATGTTACGACACAGGGCCAGTAACAGAGATATTTTGGGGTTTAGATTTTTTTTTTTTTTAATTCTTAACTGGATCGCCCACTCATCACACACACATACACACACACACACACACACACACACACACAAACACACTCGGCCTGCAGCGACAGTCTGACCGAACAGTGACCCTGCATATCAGGGTCAGATGTGGAGAACACGTCGTGTGTCATATTAACAGTGGTTGTCAGGGTAAGTTTGGTAAGATCGCTCCTCCTACTTCGCTGCCAATCACAGGGATATGGTTACGAGGCATTTACAGCCAAAATTGCCAACGATAACAGACGTGAACTTTGGGTGAACTGTATTTTCCTTCGACTGGAAGGGGCAACGAGGGCAAGTGGAGTTCAGTGGGACTTCAATGTTTTTTGTTTGGTCTTTGTTTTCCCTTCAATCTCGTTCCCCGGGCTTGATCACAGATTGACCCTCACACACTGGGCTGGGATATAGCGAAGGGATGAATCCGGATGATGCGCTGCGACACTTGGGCTTATGGGACATTGCCGCTCAGCCTTACATGCATATTTTACACTGGGGAGTGTGGACAGAGCCACACCGCAGCACCGGGCACCACTTTTCCCACATTTCCTCTTTCTCTTGCCCTTTCTTGTGCACTTTACAAGACCCTTCCCCTGTTCATAGGACAACTTAGCAGTTCAAGAATAATACCATCAACTTGGTCATTATAAGACTTTCATGAAGTGAGTGGAGATGGGTAATAAATGGAAAGAAGTGCTCTCAAGTTAGAACTTCTGAGCTTTTGAGCTGCGGGGCGTATGAAATATTTACTAGTGCTCTGGTGTCACAAATTCTTAATGTTTGTGCAAAAACGGCCGCGACCACGCTCAAATCAAAATGGTGGCAGCGACAGAAACCTGTGAAAGTCTGTGAGTGTCCCTGCATGGATCGCACTCGAGTCCCGCTTTAATAATACATGCGTCACTCCGAAGAGGTGCGACATCTCCAAAGCGAGGCGCTCATGGAAGAAATGGGAGAAGCAGAGTGCTGGAGTTGTGGTATAATGGGAGTGAAAGTGTGCACTGGTACAGAAAACCTGCCGTAACAAAGGGTAAAACACCCGAAATTCACGCAGCACAGTTTACACTTTATAGCTCAGCTTTATAGTTGAGAAGGTGAAGTGAAGAGTGGGAGTTTTGTTTGGTTCTTGGAAAACATGGAGTTTGTACGGCTCCATTTCTATCACCCAGGATTGTGTGAAAAGCAAAGGATTGTTCTTCTTCATTGGTCCGATCGGGAAAGCAGGGTGTAATGCCTCTTCTGACTGAATGAATAATTAACTCAGAGTAGCCTATAGCCGGGGCACCCTGGGCCATGTTGTGCAAGCTAGCCAGCTGCTATTGCTCTGAGAGTTTCTGTTTTGCCAGATGGGTCACGCTTCAGCCATCTTCAGCACAGCTTCAGCACAGGAAGTTTTCTTCTTCTTCTAACCACGTCCGCCCCCCCAAACACTTTGATCCCGTAACATCATACACTTAGTGCGGATTTGTAATTCTGATGGTCTCTTTGACCTTTTGACATCGCACTTGTTCTGTTTTTAAGTCCTGACCTGTGTGCTCGATGGGATGAGAGCAGCAGAGATTTGAAATGCTTATGTCAGTTATTTTTTTTTACACCTTTTCAAACTGATTAATTAGTTTCAAAATCCACGAAGAGAATACTAATATCTGCTTGTCATTACTGCATCGTTACTCCATTCTGCCATTTATCTGATGCCTCTAGATGGATGGATTTCAAACATAAGAAATACAAAATGGATGGATAGATAGAAATTAAATACAAATTGGATGGATGGATAGAAAGTTTCAAACATAAGAAATTAAATACATAGATAGATAGATAGATAAATACATATACACTCCTCCCCAACAGTTGGTCACATGAAAAGTGTCTGTTATTAAGGCCTATACAGTAAATTAGCTCATTTTCTATAAGGTGAATATTGGTAAATAGAACCAAAAAGCAGATGTTGTTTGTGGCAGGAGCAATTTAACAGAAAATACATCAATGTTTTATATTATGCACAAGTTTGCCATGTTAACTTACATTCTTTCATAAAAACTAGTGGTTACCATCAATTCAAGTTCAGCTGCCCTGCCTCCAGATCGTAAACTTCCATCTCCACTTTTCATCATAAACTTTCCTCTCTGTTTTAATTGTTTCGCGACTATCCCACACTCCCACACCCACCCAGCAAACCACAATGTACCTCCGCCCCTCATCTGTCCCCTCTGCTCCCAGAACAGATTACTAGCCCATCTGTATCACCAGAGCCAGGCCATGCTAAGCCGATGGGAGCCCTGCTCAGCAAGGCACTGCTGCAATTGTTAACCCTGATTAACTTGATGTGGCGTTCGGTAGAAGGAACAGTGTGAAAATCAAGCCAGTGCCATGACCCAGTGCCCTGCCGCTGAACCGAGAGGGTAATTGGGCAAACTCGGGGAGGGTGGATGAGAACAGCATCCAGGAAAAAAAGAGAGAGGAGTGAAAAGAGAATAAAAAAGAGAGACAGAACGATGGCAGGGAGATTAAGGCGGCTTGAAGCTTCTACTGTAGATTGCACAGGAGCAGTTAATGTATGCACATGAATATTTTTCTCTGTTTTACTGCAGTGAAAAACAGGGCATCGGTTGCGATACAGGCTCCCACCATAAAACATAAATTGCTTTGACTTTTAGTGGCTTCTTCAGATCTTCTGTGCACAACAGAGGACATGAAAGATTGAGTTAGAACGACTGTAGTACGACTATAATCACACAGAGAAGAGCGTGCAGATGTTTGCTGCACAGTATGAACTGGAGCATAGCTTAAAGATGGGAATGTATAATGCAAACAATGTTTATTACGTGAATTAAGATTTAATTTAGGATTAGTTTCCAAGGCACAACAGACTCTGCTCTGCTTTTGATTTAATTACAAACTTGGAAAAAAACCCTCAAATGATGCCTGTCCCTTTAAATATTAGCATCTACATTTATATACACATTTATTCTGACACATTTAAATATAAAGCTCTGAATAATTAAATGCAATAAAATTCCTTGTCGGTTGAGCTTTGACTCGATATAACATGTTCCTCCCTCACACACGAGCCGGCAAACATTGCTGTTTGTTGAGATGCATTTGAAAATCTAGTTTTGTGTGTCACAGCCGATGGCTCAGTTTGAAAGGTCAACTTGAGCTACATGACAACAGCAATGCCAGCTTTGGTATTTTGCTTGTGACATATTGTATTTGTCGGGCAGGATTTCAGTGTCTCTGATCACAATCTAGCTTACAATGTAGAAATGCCAGAAATAGAATATGGGCCACAGTGGCTTTACATAATGACAAATAATCTATAAGCTCTGATGCGCCTGATTGAAGAAATAGTTCAATGACATTTTATTTTTCATTTCTACAATGTAGGTGTAATGAGCAGATTTATGAAACACAGGCC